TATTTAAAGGTTAGGATTGCGCAATTTCAAAAAAAGGTCAGAGGGCAGACCACATTTGCATGTATTTAAATAACAAAACAGGAATTTCAATATGTTAAAAGACAGAGAATAACAAAATATTCAGACCTCGCATGTATTTCAGCATATTTTTGGTCAAATCTAAATATGTAAACCTTTCTATATTTACACATCCAAATATTCAGTTTTTTTATCATGAACCCGTCACTAAAAATTCAACTGTGTTGGTTGAAACTGGAACACAACTTGTAGAAAGATTCTGCTAGGATTGAAACGTCTGGTCCTCTGAATTTTTCAATTTAGAGAATATTTCACAATTTTTGGTATTTGATATAAACATTTAAATTTGTCAGCTTTTCTGGATGAGTGGAGGCGCTACTTCTGTGATGTAAATCAGGGAATTCAGGCACAATTCAGTTCTTTTTTTCCTCTTTCCATTACCATTGTGTGATTAAGGTAGTGTTCGGTTCTTTTTTCCTCTTTTTATTACCATTGTGTGATGTAGTAGACTTCATGGAATGGTAATAGCGCCCTCTTTGGTTGGTCAGCATTTTTTAGCAGAGCCTCTGATGCAGCAAACACAACAGAAATTCCTCCTGCCGGGATTGCTAGGAGAAACCAATCAATGTCAAGTTCTGTCAATTTTATTGTCAGTATAGGACTATAATGTTAGAATTCCGGAAATACATGTATATGCCAAAGTTTGACAGTCTAGCAAGAAAGACTGGGATTTTGCCTTTTCATCTGAGCTAATTACTGGCGTGAATGAGATGCCTGGCCTTGTAATTTGTGAAGGCCAGGCACTTAGATGCATCATTAATTTTACATGAACAGTACATGCAATTTTAAAATTCTGGAAATATGTGCACTTTCAATAATACAGCCTTACAGGTATGCTAAAGTGTGTCAAAACTTGCTTGGAAGATTTTTATTCATGCTGCAGCCATGTGCCTACCTTCCAGAGTTGACAAGACTGAGTTGACTTGGGACCAAGTTAACCTGAGACAGAGTTGACCCGGAGCAAGTTGATTCCAGACCAAGTCGGTGACTTCACACTGATGAGTGTGCAGTGTTTTTACATAGCCATGTTTCTGACCATATCCAAATCTTTAAAAAGGTAATTCATAGCATTATTAACTGATCTACACCATCCTGATGCAGTCGCGTCAAATATCATTTCAAAAATTCAAATATGCACAGCATGCCAAAGTGAAGTTGGGTTAGCACTCAGAAAAATGTATTTTTGACCTTGTTGGACCATGTCTATTCCTTCCTTCATGGTTGGACTTGGGACGAAGGATGGCCTTCTAATGCACGTGAACACATCAGACCCAACGACTTGCTTGGGCATGCATGTTGGAAGGGCTAAACAATTTGCAAGATGAGTGCAAATTAAATCTAAGTGGGCAGATAGGCCTACGATACTCGTCATCTTCACAGAAATGGGCCATGTACATGTACTGTAGGGATGGCTAGTGTTGATATAGCCTAAGACATAGGCCTAGGATTACGATTAGTCTCAACATGGTCTCAAGGACTAGGCTTATGAATTTTATTCCTGTACAGTACAAGTGTGGAATGATAAAAGCAAAATACACTGTACCATGGAGAAATAAAACATTCTCCATGACTGTACTTACTCCATATCACGTAGGTGTGCCACCGATTTCTCAGACTATTTTCTTGCCGACACTGCGTGAAGTCGCGAAAATAAACGGATTAAAGCGACCACCGTGCCCTCAGTATACTACACACGTGTACGTGTGGGGGCGCACCCACATGTTCAAGTTTGCAGCAGTGGGTTATTTATGTCTTACGTCCCACAGACATTTACACTACGCGCCCATAGTAAACTGTGCAACATCCCACTGAAAAAGCGCCGCCTGTTGACTCTCGTGAAGAAGTTGGCCTCCGTTTTTTTCACTGGAAATTTAAGATTATGGCCAGAAGATCACTTTTCGTTTCAATTTCATGGGAGTTGGCCACGAAATTTTTTTTATTCGCCTTTGAACGGAGATACCCCTAAAACAGCAGTAAAACTAAGTATTCATTTCTGAATGTAGCCTCCCGCCTCTATCCAAAATAGGTCCGCAGTTTGGGGCTTTTTGTGAAAGAAATGTTATACATGGAACATGGAACCGGACGTTAAAGCGCAACTTCAGCGATCGGATACTTTTCAAAATCACGGTTACCGGTAAGCAAACTATGCCGGGAACAGCATTCCCCCCCCCACCTTTGTGTTGGTCATTAATTGCTCTTAGGAATTCTTTTCAGACAGCGAGGTGTTATGTGAGGCCGAAGTGTGTATACTGAGGGATCGGACCTGTGGGGGTGTAGCCCTGTCCCATTTCGTGCCTGGTATTTAAAAAAAATCTTGTAGGATCCGGCAGGCTTACCCGAAGAATTCCGAGCATAGCCCACGCGCTCAATTCATGAATAATAATACACGAATGCACTTCGGAAGACCGCGCGCCACGCATGCCAATATACGGCTTTCGACAGTGCGCATGAGCAAAATGGCTAGTGGTAATTTTGTGCGTGAGGTGATATATGCTCGGAATTTTTCGGTTAAGCCTGCCAGATCGTTGAAATTAATATGTTAAACAAAAAAAAACTTGTATAACACTACAAAACAGAACAACTCGTATTAAGACTTAAAAATGGTTTCACGATCCAAGTCACCAGCAAAATACGGTCATAAAGTTTGACTGATTCATTAGCGTATCTTGAGGGAGCGGAGGGGTCAAATTTCCTTGTTGGTTGACATGTTTGTAATTTTGGTAATGAGTTGAAAGTACCAGCATTTTTAGACAGGGTAGAACCACCTGATCTTGGTTGGGTACGGAGTTTTTCTGTAATACGAGTAAAAAATTGATTGGGGGGAGAGGGGGCGCCAAGACCTGGATATGCATGTACGCCACTGAATACATGTACATCTTGCTGGGTTACACCTTAAACCTTATCCCCCTAGGGGTTATGTATTTCAATCATATTAAATTAAAGGATTTGGGACTTTTAGGGTTAATCTCTGCACTAAAGGCTACAATTCCAATATTCCTTTTTCCCCACTTCATGCAAACTACTTGAACTGTGTTAGTGAACACATTCTTATACTGCTAAATAAAACTGTCTAAGGTTACTGCAAAAGACAAAATATGATTCGATGTAATGTCCAGCTTAAATATGAAGACGTCTGACTTATTGCAAAGTCTCGTTTCCTTGGAAATTAAAAAATCTGTGGAAAGTTTGATCAGTTCCGGGACTCAGGTGTACAAGTTAGTGGTGCGATCTCGTAAATCTTGCCGTGGTCTTCATGTCTCATTCTTCTTGGTTTCATCTAGTCCGTCTGGAGAAACTGCAGAACGTCCTCCAACAACCCACGCTCAGCAGGACTAGGGGGGACTGCCGAGACAAAGCAGAAATAATCGCATTTAAATCAACTTTTCTCACACACAGACAGTAAATGAAATCAATTACAGGTTGAGACTGGTGCAGTCAAGACAATGCTTTTCCGGTCAGCAGGGGCGTATCCAGCTTTTTAAATTGGTGTGGGGGTGGGGCAATTCAAAAACGAATAAAGCTTTGGGCTCATTCAACACCTTGGAGGAGAAATATTCGAATCTCACTTAGCGGTGGGGAGGGTACACACTAATTGATGTCCTTCGACTTCGGCCCACAAATCAACGTCAATTATTCCTGATCCGGTAAATTCTGAACGCTTAAGACGCAGCCAAGCGCATGATTATTAATTCCATTCATGATACCTTTCGAGTCAGAAAGCCAAAATAAGTTGATAAGAAATTATAAAATTTCAAAGATTTTTTCCACACTTTTACTTCTTTTTTTTTTAAAATCAGGCATGTTATGTGCCTCTCGCTAGTAGCTGTGAACAATTTTTTTATATGGAGTTTGACCCGCGCGTGGCGCGTACTGCGTGACGTGGCGCAAAACGCAATGAGCCAGTGCATTATGAACACTGATCTCCATAATAGAGCACCGAAGTGTGACGTCAATGTGAACCAGAAAGTTCAGTGCAAACGAATGGAGTACGCGCGTGTGTTGGTTCAAGCGCTGGTTCTCGCGCTGATGCCTATTACACACTAATTGTGTGCGTGACGTATTCACTTCGGTACTCTATGGAGTCAATGATTATGAATTAATAGGACACTCAAATGCGGAAACGGAGGGACCACATTTCAAAGGAGAAAAAAAATTCATGGACACCAGAAAAGAGTTTCAGATTAGCCAGCTGATGCATTATCAACCTTCACAGCCGGCTACAAGGTGGGTTAGATCTCAACCAGTACCTTAGTTGGCTGATCGGTCTTCGGTATTTTGTAATGTCTATTAAATTTTCAGTGATTGTTACGTCAAACGTAAATGGGAATTTTGATTTAGGTTGTTACAAATCAGCTGCATTTTTTAAGGAAACATTTTTCCCCACAGTACTTACCACAAAGCTTATCTTCGCAGGTGTATTCCGTAGGACATTTGCTACACGGTTCACCTGCCTTGTATGGAGTCTTGAAGAAAGAGTTTCCACTTTGGACAAAATCAAAGAACAATGATATGTCTAGGCTTTACAGTGCATTTTAAGAAGAAAAGCCTAGGTCTGCAGACATTGGGAAAGAGTTCCATATACGGACATCACTTGACACCATGTGCGCAATGTGAGACTGGTCTGAAAAATTTTTCCCTCCTCAATTACGCTTTTGTTGACATGGTTTTGCTTTCTGACGGGTAATAGGTCACTGTGGGCAATTATTACTGGCGTCCGGATATGGAACTTTCCCCCAAAGAGAACTAGAACAAAACCGTTTGGGCACGCACGCCATGGGTAAGAATGCAACAAAAATGGACTGTTTATTCTCTCTCACACACACCCACACGAAAAAACGAGCCAAAATGCGATAATTTTTTAAAACTCACCCCGGACCGTAGAAACATGTCACATATATTTTGTTGTCGCATTGGTTTTTAGCGCATCCAATAAATTCAGTCGTTGCCATGATAACCTGAGGGAATATGGAACCAGTACCCACACCAACGTGAGAAAAGTGCATAAAGTACCTTTCACACCATACTTAGATTATACATGCAAGTACTATCTACTAAAAAGAAATCAACGATCTTACCTGTGTAAAGTCAAAACATTCCTTCTGGGGAACATTGTTCCCGCACGTTCTTTTCTTAAAGGAATAGTCGGTTCCTCGCTGAACCCATTCGAACACAGGAACTGCCGCATAGGTTTGGTATTGCTCAATATCACCAACCCAGTTGTTTTGACCAAGTCTCTTCCACTGACCAGCATCCTGGTTGATGAATCGATCGTTACCCTTCTTGCACTGTGTGACCCATTTGTTCGCTTTTTCTGCCAGGAAAACACTCCATTGCTGTGGAGAAAAGTATACAAAAACAATAAGATAGCTTAGTAGATTTTGGCTCAACGTTTGGTGAGGAACCTATAGGTATGTAAGTCGACTCTCTTCTAAAAATTTATTCTTGATATGAGTATAGTACTTCAGTTCAATATTTTGAGACAAAAAATTGGGAAACTGTTAACTACGATGATTCCAAAGGCAAATATCACTGCACAACGGCCAAGACACTGGACACCTTGGGCTAGCCTGACTCTTCTATGAACTAAGTAAGAATATATGTAGAAGCATTATACAGCACTTGTGTAAAACACTGAGATTTTAAATTAGGCCTATCACCGACAGTATCAGACGCTAACCAAATGGATTAGGAAATCATGAAACACCAAAATGGCGTAAAGAAAACAACGTGGCAGCAGGATTCTACTGTCCGTCGATAGTTATGATTGAATCAGCTTTGCTGTGGTCCCTAGAGATGCCACACCCATTCCATGGTTTTATTCATGCTACTTACTACTTTCAACATGTTAGCAGCTGAAGGGTTATCAACCAACGATCGCAGTGTGTTATGCGTAGAAAGGAACACTGCTTTCTCATCTTCGCTGAGATATTCGGCGTTAACAGAGGTCACAAACAAGATGGTTAAAGCTAATAATGCCATGGCGCACAAGATTTTGTGACGAACACTGCAGCCTTGCTGATAGATCACCTTGAGCTGCATGTATAGACAAGACAACAACTGTCCATCCTCTTCCCGCAATGTTATTACAAACCTTTTCAATAAATTCGTAAATATGCACGCATGCGCCTAAATGGAGCATCGGCAAAAAGCTACGCAGCCATTAAAATATACAGGGGTTCATATTTTCAACGTCACTTTCTCTCAGATTATTTCCTGATTTTCCTTTTCTTCAGAAAACCTCCTAATTCGTAGTCATAGGCCTAGTAACTCTGTTTAAATGAGTTTTGGAGAACACAAAAATTCCCAAATTTTCCTTTATCTAAAGTACACCATTATTTTCAACTAGGAATTGTTTTCATTAGCTTCGACCACATTATAACTACGACTTTGTGTTTAAATGAATCCTGAGACGGTGTCGAAACCGAAACTTTGAAATGAGGCTGGTTCGCACATGCGCAAAACCTCAACTATAAGATGCGCAGTACACTCCATTGCAGAGTTATGAATTTCAAATATTCGAAAAGGCATACTTTTGATTCATACATCATTTCGTACATCATAAGTCCCACTTAGACAAGAAAGCTATTTCAATGTCGAAAACGGTGAAAATACTTGAAGTACTTGCAAGAAAGATGACACTTAAACAACGCATATCCCTGCACACTTTCGATGGGCCGCTCACGCTTTTTTCCATCTTGACCATGCGTGCCCCATGTGTGCATAATTACAAATTTACCATAATAAAAGTCCACACAGCGAGTTCCGAGGCCACCTAATTTCCAAAAACACAACAGGCTTACCAATGAAATAGGAAAGAATCTGGCATATTAACCTTCCTGTATAGCTTTATTCAGTAACGCATTCCTAAGGTTTCTGCAACCTGCAAGGTGAGGCTTTATTCAAATGCAAAACCCGTATGGCATCCACAGCATTGCTTTGCAGAAAATTGGTGGGGAGCTTTTCACAGGGTTTTGTGCACTTCTGAAAAGGGTGGCTTATTGTAATGCAAAAACCTTTTTGTTGTATTTTCTGCAATGATGGGAAGGAGAGTCCAGCCAAACACTATGCAACGAGAGTGGTCGGAAGGGGTTACGTGGCAAATGGAGATGGGTTGAGGGCGCGAAGTGGGACTTTTCTTTTGAAAACGATGGTCATAAATAATCCTTTCTTCCTTAGCTGTAAACTCACTTCCCTTAGGAAGGTGGAACTACAAATTTCGAAGTTTCAAAAGTATTAGCAATTTATTCTTTCAAAAGTGAAAAGGCAGCAAGTTTCCAGGCGACAACTTGCCCTCCGCCATACACCATTGGTTGCTTTGAGGCTGAAAACAGGTGACGCAGATAGAACGGTCGCCTTGAACAAAATGGTGCAATTCTCATCCATTCACAAGCGGTGGAAAATTATGAGATGAAGGGTTGCAGGTACCACACATCTTCTGAAGATACTGATTCCGTGGAGTACCCACAAATCTACAGCTCGTGTAACATTCACCATGCAAAGTTTCAAATCTTACATGGATAATTACTTCTCCGGTTATCAAATGATTTGGAGTCATATACATAAAAAGAAGATATTGCAAGCTTTGCAATCAGAAACCCCACCTGAAATGAATCTAACCTGTCCGTGAAATTTTGACATAACGTTAAATATACCGTTTGTGGAAAAAGTACACAAATTATTTTAAACGTTGGCACACTACAAATTTAACGAAAATATCGGGCAAATATACTGTAATTTTACTCACGAGGTAACGCTTTAAGAGTAAGAAGGCGTTATGAATCAAGCCCTACTTCTTCCAGTCCCGCTCACCATAAACTTAGTTTGGCGGTCCTTCAGTTTGAACTCTATCCTGTGCAGACCACGAACACGGTTTTATGCCTGCGTACAATTTGTCACAACTATGTCAACAATGGTTACTATTTAAGTCATGAACACTTGCTTTACTGAAAACAGACAATGCTTTAGCCCCGAAAATATAACATTCCTCATCCATTTCAGATGCCCACTGCAACCCCCTTTTCATCCAGAAATGTATTATCAATTTAAGAGGGATAAATCAATCTCTGTACTGCCATGACAGCCTCAATCTCCAATTACAATTGCTAGAAGTAATTATGTTCAACTGAGTTCTTTCGAAAATCGGAGGGCGGGGGCAGGGCATAAGCAGAGTGTATGAAAAGATGGCCTTCCTGCTGGGCTAGACACAGTGTATTTATAACAAATCTTTCACATCTTGAATAACGACTTTTTCATTGAGACCAAATCAGACTGAGTCATTGTTAGGTGTCATTCATGTTAGTGGCTTCATCATCCAGTGAAAAATCTATTCCTCTAAAAGTGCTCATTGATTTGACCATTCATTACCAGGCACCAGTCTACTGTGAGCATGGCATCTATGTACATGTACTTACACGGAATGGCAAGTGAGGCTCATTAACAGGTGCCACACCCTTCTGATCTCATTCACAATGATACAAATCATGTTCATGTAATTATACTTTATAGCTTAATCCATATTATGAATGATTTTCATAAAGTAAAAGTTACCAGCATGGGTTTACAGCATCAAACCCAAAGTTTTCAGTTTGAATGGTGTATTTCGCACATGCTTTTGAAAAACGGCCTTCTGACATCAGCATGTTGAGACTATACATGTACATGTACTTTTACTGCCCATCATCTACTGAGGAATGTTCCAATTTTTAAGTTTAATCAGCTCACCATGGGTTTTTACAAGTGATTCTCAGAGTAAGTCAAAAACTCCTGACACCTGACAATTATGGCACAATACACAATGGATATTCAAATGGCTGATTGTGCAGGCATGTCTTGCATTGCTTTGGTAGTTGCTTCATACGTTCTATGACATCCTCTACATCCTGTATTTCCATTGAGGATGACATATTGCGAGCCATGCGAACAGCCTCTCCCTTTGGATTGAAGAGAAGAGATAAATAAATAATTGCAGGCATGAGAAGAAGTTGAAAATAGCAGCCTTGTTTGAGGAATACATAATGGACCAAGTTAGTCCTCTGGTAGTTTTCATTCTCAAGGAATGCGGCAGCTACCCATGAACGATTCCAGCCAGACTTAGCACACAGGAAAAAGGTTCTCACCTAAGTGAAACCTTGACTCTCACAATGCAGTTTACAAGCATCGTTAAACTTTAACAAAAGTGCCCATAGATTCCTTTGCCTTCTTGAATTAGACAGCATCCTCAACAGTTACAATAAAGAACAAACAAGAGGTGATTCAACATTCTTGTTTCTGCTCAATCATCTTGGTTTTTCTTTCTTTTTGGCTGAGAACTAGCCACAGGAACAGTAATAAATATGGTTGCTAGCCACTTGGTTTCATTCATGGATGTGAAATTTTCACAGGTACATATTTTGTACAAGTACATAGTCTTTTACACTTACTTTCAGATAGTTGGTAACTTTCAGTGGTCTGCACTGTACCAGAGGACGAGACTGCTCAGCGGCAACTAACTCCAGTATTTCCTGAAGGTCATAAATGCCATAACAACTGATAGTCGTTGCCATAGCAATGACCTGTACCCTGACCTCTGTTGTTTCTGAGTCTGAAAATTAATGAGATAAGACAGATGATAGGGTTACTGATGATACAATTAAACGAACACTGCCAAACAGAACCCTGACCTAAGTGGCTGGAAGACTAAACGTACAAGACATGAATTCTACTCTAATTTCCCATTTTGTCTGTATTCAAATGGATTGGGTATACATGTACCAATATTAATCTAAACGGGAGTATCTTACCAATCGTTTGTTTGAGTTTGAATCCATTTGCTGTCAATCTAGTGTCAATGAAGTACATAGCTGGGTCTGGTAAATCAATACGTTTTGACATCTTCAGTAAAGTGTTCCAATTGCCATCACCTCCAAGCATACTGGACAGAAATAAAACACGCCTAAAGGTAAATTTTTTTCAGTATGTTGAAGAAAAACAAACATGATATAAAAATTTGGCTTAAGTGTCTTGATTTGATGCTAGCTCCTGTACACTCAGTCTTATCTATACTTTGATGGAGTGAACAGGAACTGACCTGTTGACAGATAAACACCTGTTGTCCATAGTTTTTAAACAGGTATTTGCGATGTTAATGAGCGCACAGAACATTTGAACCAATTAAATAATAACCTGCCATATAATACGGTTTACGGTCAAAATGATGTTTGTAATTAACTTTGCTTACCTTGGAGACAATACAATAGGGACATCAAGAGGTTGGCATGGCAATACATGATGCATCATTAGCCTGTGATACAGAAGCATCTCTTCCACTCTGTTCAAGAAATAGTGAATGAGGATCACAAAGATTATATGCCACTGCCTTCCTGTTTAAAAGCATGTTTCCTTTCTAACTCAAATGTATTATTCATAAATTGCAAATGCTTCTGAGAAAACATAACTATTCTATTTGAGAAAGACTTCCTTAATCATGACCTTTCTGTGACACTGGGCAGAGTACAATTTTTCCGAAAGTTTTCTTGTTTTAAATTTCAATCTACAGGAAGAATTCCAAGCAAACTTATTTTCAACGTACATGTAGATATTAGAAGTTATTCAAGTGAACTATGGGGCACAAGTCCCTTTTGAAATAAACAAAGTAAGATTAATCACCTGTACTGGTTGAATATTACCACTTGATTACCATGGTGAGCAAGCCAAACACCATGTGATGCAAACTGACCAATCAAGTTAACCCCCTCGTCAGGAACACTTTCACTACGGCAAAGTAAAGAAATATCACACACAACACTTTTAATGGAATAACCTTGTAATAACTTTAACAGATACCAATAAGACTGGAACCTTACTTGTTTGTTCTAATAACATTACAGCGGTAATCACTCACTCTGAAGAGCCGTTAACTCACAAACCTATTTTTGTGATGTGTTTCCAACTCTCTTTTTAACCCTGTCAAACTGAAAGACACATCAAGAGTGGGAATGTCTGGTACTTCTGATCCTGCATGTTGACTGGCTGCCTTTCTCTGTTGCTGTGACAACAGCATCTTGTCTATAAGTCCCTGATTGGACGGCTGAAACAGAAAAAAACAATACAACAAATGAAAATATAGTAAGGAAAAATGATACAGATAATCCGGCAGAAGAGTAATTTCAGTTCAAATGGAAAGGAATATCAACATCAGGGTTAATGAGACATGGGCTTTCTTTCGCCTCTGTAACAGTTTTGACATATTTATTTACCACTGTAGTAGTTTTTTGCTTTTTGCTTGGTGGAGCATCCAGGTTGATCTCATCCTTCAAGCCAAGTTTATTTCTAGCTGCTTGCATCTGATTATGATGTCTGAAACAGCGATACAAAGTCATCAGGTTTGTCAAATTCATTCTTAGAAGATAGAGTAATTGACAGAGCTGGAATTGTCTCCCTTCTTCTAACATTGTGCCTAAAATTTGTAAAGGCATTTTTGTCGAGAGGTGGGATGCGACAATTTTTCCAAAGTCCTATTTTCCCAGAAAGTGGGCATGTTCTATTCAATGTACACATCTGTACCTTTCTGTATCTTTCCTTGCTTTTTCTTCATATTTTGCCCTCTCTTGTTCTTCCAACTGCCTCCATTTTTCTGCCACAATCCTTGTTATGTCGTTAAAACTAAATGAAGGGTTCTCTTCCAGTACTAGAACAAAAAAACAAAATTTGTTAATGTCCACTGGAACCTATTAAAACTGGCATTTTGATAAAATGCCACGTTCAAGCCAGTCTGTAAGACAGACCTGGGATATAAACCTTTCAGTCAATTCGGGGATTTGATCTTTCAAGTATAATGAAGAGTGGATGCACCAATCTATGTCACAAAGTATGAAAAG